CGATTGGGTGTGCTTTATTCGGGAATCCCAAACGGTTCATTCACCCGGAAGGTTATTGCCTGAGCACCAGCAAGTTTGGGGGGGGGGGAGGGGGTGGTGGGTTTATCGTCCCATTTCCCGCGGCCATGGCTAGGCCATGGGCAAAATGTGTGGTATCGTTCCCTTTGAAAACTCACGTGTTGATGTGGAGGTTGATGATCAGGATGACTATTTGGGAAAACCACCCCAAAAAGATCACTTTCCCACTACATGGGAAAGTTACCTATCATTGGGGGGCCCATGTGCTCTCAAAGGCCTTCCTTCAAGTCACCGAGAGATTGGAGCTCTGCGCATGTCGTGGGGATCTTGACTCATAACGGATGGCCAGTGGTTCCGTAAGCCAGGCCCTCGATCAGAACTTCTCTAAGTGTCTACAATTCCAAAACCTGAAATAAGACATCCATCAACAGGCAATGGACCGACATGGACCGACCTCACGGGCGGAATCACTCATTTTACCCACGGATTGGTGCACTGCGACCATGAAATAGGCAGATGACACGCTACCCCCTATGCCCAACACCCAGTGTTTCAGGGTAGGATGTCAACCCCTGACTAACCAAGCATTTGCCATGGAAAACCAAACGGGTGTGTCAACATATACCCCCAGAAACAGGTGCCCCCAAAGAAAAGAACCCGTTGTAGAAAATGGTGTAACCATGGGTTTACCCCATGGTACAACCTACCCGAACCCTCAACATGGGGTATGGCCCCAAAATTGTGGGGCGAATTTCCTTTTTTATGGGTCCCGTTTGAGGGCCCAGGTAGAGGCAACAAAATTCAGATGGGTATAGAAGTCCCCAAACTCGGTGTCGCGCCTCTGAGGCTGAAGCCCCTTTCCTGACCCCGAGCACCTGGAAGTGGCGCTGTTGCACGGGATTGCCCCCGCGCGGCTCGCACCGAAAAATATGAAACTCAACGGAACCGGAAATGCCCGAAAACCAAAGGGGTTTCAACATATTAACCTCCTAAAAAGCAGTGCCTCCGAAACCCCATAGAGTTGGGTGAACTCTGTTTGGGAAGTTACCAAAGCTTTAGATTCGATTCCCCAACGTAAATACCAACAAACGTTATGGTTTCAACCAGGATTTCAATTGTGCGAAGGGATTTGGTCCATCCAGAGTAGGCGACTCAGCTTTTACAGCTCAAACTTTTCCTGCCCGTACCCACAACTCCAAAATGGTCAATCAGACCTTTGTGTTTGGGGCGGGTGGTTAGGGGCTCCCCTTCAGGGTGTGAACAGTTCTTCAACTTGTTGCTTGCTTTCTTTGGTGGCTTGTTGGGAAGCCAAAAGTCCGTGAATCCCACGTACACGTTGGGCTCTCTGTTCTGGTCCTGCCAACTGGTCCCAACTAACAAAAGGCTCGCCTTCGCCCCAACCCTGGCTGCTGGGAACATTTTTGGCGCCCGACGTTGCCCAAATATGAGGGCTCTTTCTATCCGCGCGCGCGCGGATATACGGGCACAAGAGATTCGACACCATGCACGAGTGTCCACAACTCTGTTGCAGCCCCAACTCTGGTCGTGCGAGTTTTATCAGTGAGCACGCGGACTTCGTTTGATCGCACGTGTCCTTAGAGCTCTTTGCAGCCTCGTCTGAAAAAGGAACCCTGCAGCCGTAGAGCATCTCCCGATCCCCAGGTCTTATAATTTGAGGACCTGCCCGAAAAGAAACCCAACTTGCTGGTGCTCAGTGGTGACATTTGGTCCACTCTCCGACTTCCAAAGTCGCGTGTCTTTTTTAAGGGTTGCTCACCCTATTCCACTCCAGTACATATCATCCCTGAAAACGAACCGTGTTTTTTTGGTAGCGGAAGTCCTGTTGGCAGCTTGAGTGAGGGGAGACCAGTCGAGGACGAGTGAGGGGAAGCCAGTTCATTAAGCGCAATCTTTCCATCAAGCAGATTCCGATACCACAAACTACACCCACCTCATTAAGTATGTGCAAATGGTCCAAACAAGCAACCTCACCAGAGCCCAAAACCATTGTTTTCTAGAACCATGTTGTACCGCAAAACAAGCCATCATATTTCAGACACGTGCTTTCCGCGCAACTTCACCAAGGTCATAGAAACTTTCAACCACGGCGTGCTTTCCGGACTGTGAAGGGACATGTTCTTTTCCATGCGGATGGGCCTCCTCGGGCGCTTCGACATCAGGCTCCACCTTGGGCATGTCGGATTCTATGAGGCCTTTTGAAAAAACAGGGACAGACGAGAGTCTGCCGTTTAGGAACAGGAACAGGGAAAAACAGGGAAGAACGTTGAAGGAACAGGGAACCTTTGCCATGGCATTTTGGCTGACAAAAAATGTGCAGATTCTCCCATGCTGGTGCCCATGTACTGAACGTTTCACGATAGAACATGTCCTTTGTGCCGTTAAACGATTCTCCCTTTACTTGCTGCTGAGGGAAGAGAAATGGCTCATGACTCCGAGAAGAAAACAACCTTTGAGGGAATCCACAGGTTCATTCCCTCATTTCCCTCTGAGCACCAGCAAGTTTAAACACTCAGATTACCCTCCCACCCTTTTCACATGGAACCAGCCTGATGCTCGGGCTCGGGTGCTTCCCTTTGAAAGGAAAAATGGTCCAAACCAGGACCCCCGAACGTCAGGTTCCATGTTCATCGGTGGGAGGGAAAAAGAAAACTCGCCTTGGATTGGTTCAAAACCAGAGAATCCTGTTAATGTTCACTTCGTATGTGAGCATATATTGCCTCGTGAGTATCGAAATAAATACTAGGGGATAATTGCCCTAATCTGCGCGTATCATCATCCTTCTTTGGTTGGCGAACAAAAGGTTCCAAACGGAAACCTGTTCGTTGGTACTGAGCAAGCAAATGGACCAGTTTAACTAGTGCGAATCAGCATAACCGAAGGGAAAACTGCTTAGTCGGAGTGAATCAAGGGGAAAAGAAACTTGTTTGGTGTGAATCAAGGGAACCAAATTCTAACCGAAACTTGCGCCTGCTTCAAGAAACACAACTGCGAGAAGGATATGCCGCGTGCGGTCAAGGTGCGTCTCCCTCAAGGGCTACAGCGTGCCAAAATTCAAACCGCCCAAATACAACTTGTTTGATAGGGGCTCTGTATGTCCCAGGAGATTGTTCAGACCCACCCGACCCCCAGCACACTCCTTTAGGTTGTTGTTGAGAGAAAAATCCCCAAGAAAAAGGAAGCCCACTGGAGGTATGGGTTCAGGGCATCCTGTTGCCCGTGATCAGTTTCCCACTTTCCTCCGCCCCGGCACCTTTGTTGCTGCCCCGGTCAAACTTTTTCTGCGACTGCTGCCGTGCAGACGTGGGGCCAAGCTTCGACAAATTCACCAGACTGACTTTTCATTGGACCCTCTGGTGGACATAATTTAGGTGGGAATTATGTCCACCTTCTTAAACTTCATAGCCATCTAGATTCACAAAACAAATGAAGTCTGGTATTTTCTCGCGCGTGTTTCCTAAGTCTTGTGTAAATGGTTGCTGGACAAATCGTAGGCAAGACCACAGAGGAATCGAGCAAACTGTCCGACCCCCTCCCAGTTTATATCTTTAGACGGGCAAGAAGTGATGTGGATGCTAAAAAAGTCTCAAACATATGATTGTCGAAGCTCAGCCAGCCGTCCTCTTGGCCTGAAAGAGAAGGGCTGCAAAACCCGGGCAGGCAGCAGGCAACTCATCTTCAGAAGGAACCTGCCTGTGGCTACTGATCACCTTGCGCTGAACTCTGACCTGTCTGCCAGCCGTGTCTCGACGGCTTGCTCCCACGGCGGGGCAGGCCAACTCGCGCGCGCACACGGCGCATGTTGCGCGACAAAACTGGAAAAGGCAAGAGCCTAAAGCCCCTGTGCTAGATAAAAGACATCCGGGTTTGCACGTGACTCGGTCCCACGACATTGAACTACGAAAACACAACGGTTCCACATCCTGCTAGGTCGCCCGCTTCATAGACTACTGATGAAAAGTAACACCTGTTCTAAACTCCAGGCCAGGCACCAAAAAGAAACACGCCAATGAGACTGCAACAAAAATGCCGTCAAGGCACCACTGTGAGCCAAATCAAGCCCCTTATATAGCTTCTTTGGAGTACGGACAGCGGCGACATGTGCCAAATCCCGCATACCCCAATACTTGGTTGACGTTGAAAGGGGAGCAAAACAAATTAAACAATTTAGCAGTTGAGTGGTTTTGGATTTCAACCACTCAACCACAAAAAACACAAATGTATAATCAACCCCTTTCTTTCCAGCCATCGTTCTTTTCACAACCCAGCCGTTTTCCCTGGGTCTCTGGAGGTTTTCTGGAAAGATCCGGATCCCTGGGTCAAGAATGGACATGGAAGGCACCCCTCCCCAATCCCGAGAAGTGCTGAGCGCCAGGTGACCCCAAGACCTACTGACCTCCCAGCCAGGTTCTCGAACAGACGCCAAAAACCGAGCGAAACGGTAGGGGGACCTGCCGAAGGAAGCCACATCGACATTAAATAGGTACCCAAAATGGCTTGCCCGATCGGCAAATGGAAGCATGGACGATTTGACCTGCTGTCCGATTCCTGGTGGTTGAGAAAAATGACCCATACCCAACAGGGATCCTTACAAGAAAACACCTGCACATTGCCTTGTAAATGGTGGTGTCCCTTTATTTTGGTGGAAAAAACAACATGTTTCAAATGGCTGCAAAATGTATATTTTAAGGAGCCCTGTCAAACATGGGCCGAAATAAATACGGACTGCGGCGGGTTCTGTCCACTTCTGATTCTGCAGGACTCTACTCGGAGGACCCCCTGACGTTTCTGCCCAGCAATTTCGCCTACGAAAAAGGGAAGCACCTCTGAGTAGTACGGTCCGCCGGATTAATCTGAAGTTAACACTACGTTAGATCAAAATAAGTCGTAGGAGGGAAATCATGTGCAAAATGTGGCCCTCGTTTTACTCAACCTATTTCGTTCACCACTACTCAAACCACATCTGTCATCTGTGGTCCAGTGCAAACCCTCAGCCTCCGAAGACCCCACGGGGTCTTTGGAAGATGATGGTTGACGCCACCCGGCCGCAGCCAAGGGGGTGACCTTGCATTGAGCTCCCAGGAAGTCCAATTCAGCCCGCAGCCACATGGACCTCGATTTCAATGTTCCGCTCACATGACGAGAGCAAGAGGCTCTTCCAGCCTCGGTGCCAGAGAGATAGGCTCAAGTCTTCTAGAGAACTGGCTCCACGTGACCCTGAATGGGCTCTATGGAAATCTATGTGGGGAACCACCACAAGCGATTGGTGGACAAGATTGCCCACCTAAATCATGTCCACCAAAGGGTCAAATGGCTTCTAGGATGCTACACACATTGTGCTGGACTCAGATCACACTTTTAGTGGCTTAGCGGAAACTACCACTAAACCCCAAAAAGCCAAAAACCAAAAACAAAAAACGACAAAAAGCGGATGGCTGAGAACTAGCAAGAAGTCTGCTTCTTGCCAGAAACCGAGACTTGCCTTAAACGCCTCATCCCCCAACAAAATCAGCCCGGCGTTTTTCTGCCCCCATCTCCTCGCTTCCGATCCAGCGGTCCCAATAGAGAGGCCACCCGATATTTGTTCTGTCGCCTAATTTAGTGGGGGGAACCCTCCTCCAAAAAAGAAACGGTGAGAAAGGGCACCTGGCTGGGGGACCGAGTTCTGTTTGCCACTCAAACGGTGCTCCCAAGAAGTGACGCCCAAAACGTGACCACAGCCCGCAACGGAACTCGGGGAGTGAGCAATAGCAGCGCTCAGAGCGAGCCACTCCAGCGTTCCGGCAGAGAGCCACGAGAGCCCATGGCTGTGTGGGATTGAACAACCCCGAGTCACGTGACGTCACCATCAAAACCTGGTACAAAATGTGTCCTAACGAAAGTAGAGGGCGGATCTCCGCAACTTGTGGCTCAGCACTGTCCCGTTCTATGCCTCTCTTGCCAAGGAGCAAACACCGAAGGGCTTCCTCCAAGAAGCCATAATACCTGGCGCGTTACGCGACGTCTGGCTGACCACCTCACCTGCGCCGAGTTCATCTGAAACCAGCGTCTAGGAAACGGTTTGGATGCGCCTTTTGTGGATTTCACCTGTTCTTCCCCCTGTTGGTCCTTTTCTAGTACTCTTTTAGTACTCTTTTAACCTTCTACAGGGGCGGAACCACAAAAACCACAGCCAAACCGTTTTCTAGACCAGCGGCCAAGGACATTCAACAGCGATAAGTGAAACCAGCATAGGCCCCAAAACTTAGCTCAGCGTCGTCAGAACTCAACACTGCAACTGTCTAACTGTCTAGGGTCCTGCTTCTATACTGCAAATGGGCGTACTAGCGGGCAGAAGTACGGTATAGGGCACATGCCCCAAAAGCCACCCCTACATATTGCTGGTGGGGTATGTAGGACTCCAGAATTTGTTGGGGGTTCTTGCAGCCATATTGACAAAAGCACAGCCGACTCACACACCACACACAGCTTTCTCTGCTCTTTCTCTCTCTCTCTCATTCTTTCTCTCTCGCTCTGTGTCCTGTGTGTCTCTCTCTCTCTCTCTCTCTCTCTCGCTCTCGCTCTGACGCACAGGCATTCTAGTCAGCGGATGGTGACAGCAGAAATGAGAACCTGCACGCTCATGGTGGCCCATGCGCTCTGCGCACCAGGCACGAGTACTGAGGTAAGCGGCACCTGCTTGAAGGGACCAAGGTAAAGCGGTCGGCGAAACCATGGGCAAATACCCGACCAAAGCCATGGTTGCAAGTTTCCCAAGGTCATGCGAATGGTTACTAACAACTTACCAAGCTTCCCCCTTTTTGAGTGAGAGTGGTCCGCAAGAATCCATCAAATTCATGCAAAAACACCAGTTGTAATAAGCAAAAACAACCTCCTCTCATGGAGTACCTTTCTTTTCTTTTGTGTGTTTCTGTGTACCCCGTTGCATGCTGTTCCTTGTGCATGGTTACCTCCATTTGCTTAAGTCCCCTGGAAAAAATATATATTTCCAGTAGTGATAGATTACCTTAAAACCAACAGGGGAAAATATAAAATATTCTTAAGCAAATGGAAGGTTAACCACTTGCCCTGACACACCGCCCTCCTCCCAGCGACTCGGGGAGGAAAACGCCGCCTCTCGGCATCCGCCGCGCTGTACAGATCCGCGTTGAAGGTGCAGAGGATGCGCCAGGACTCCCTGCCGATCTGATCGCTTCACGAACGGGGAGCCAAAAAGTTTTGTTGTTACAAAAATAGCAGTTCAGTGGTGGGTTGTCAACCACTAAACCACAATAAAATTCGGATTTTAGCAGTTGAGTGGTGGCATTTCAACCACTCAACCACAAAAAAGCAAACATGTAAAATGCTTTCCCAACAGTAGCAGAGATGTGCCGATTCTTCTCATGGCCCCGTCTGAACAGTCTGGCCGGTTCCTTCGAAGGGAATGCTCAGAAGCGCTCCTGATTTTGACAACCCGTACATGCGCCATTGGCTGTTGGTTCTTCCATCATGGTCTTGCAAAAATGAGCATAGGAGCGGTCCAAGAAATACGTTCATCCACCAAAGGGAAGGGGGCAAAATGGAGAAAAAGTGAGCAGTTTTGCCCGAACCTCACAGGGCGCCGCTTACATCCTCTCTAAACCTGGGAGCCGCTTACATCTGTCCAGTCCATGTCATGGTAATGCCGATGATCAGCCATGACGATGATAATGATGATGATGGTGGTGCTGGTGGAAGCGGGTGGTGGTGGTGGTGGTGGTGGTGGTGGTGGTGGTGGTGGTGGTGGTGGTGGTGGTGGTGGTGGTGGTGGTGGTGGTGGTGGTGGTGGTGGTGGAAGCGGGTGGTGGTGGTGGTGGTGGTGGTGGTGGTGGTGGTGGTGGTGGAAGCGGGTGGTGGTGGTGGTGGTGGTGGTGGTGGTGGTGGTGGTGGTGGTGGTGGTGGTGGTGGTGGTGGTGGTGGTGGTGGAAGCGGGTGGTGGTGGAAGCGGAGGCATTCTCAAGAGTAGCCTTCCAACATACGTACTCCTGTCAGCTTCCATGATAACTCACACTTCCCCTGCATGCTTGCGCACAGAACGGACGCACCACGCACATTTATTGAGAATGCCGGCATTTGTATTCTAGGGGTACCTTCCCCATTCTTTCCAGGGATCATTATTTTCAGGAAACCATCAAAAACCCAGGGCAAACAGACGGTTTTTGAAAAGACCGATGGTTGACCCCTAGAATCACATCTTCCCAAAGTCATCTGGTTCATGGAGCCTCTCACTGTTCAGGAAACAACCCCTAGAAGTTTGGAATAGAACTAGAATGGAAGAATCAACCCCTAGAAGTATGGAACTCTTCAACTCCCAGGCACTTGGATCTTTCGGGTCGGTGGCTCGCACGGTCCTCTGTCAGACCCGGGCCTGTCCGGCTGCACAACCACCACCTGCATGGGTGACATGGTGCTCACATCCTGGCGGGGCGCAAGCGGGACACCCTGAGCCAAAAGGCGTGGATCGTGCTTGTTTTTGGAGTTGGTAGCCCGTTTTTGTTGTGGTGGTTTTACAGGGCAGCCACACACATACACGTCAATTTTGCGAGTTGGTATCCCTTTTTGTGGTTTTGCAGGGAAACCGCAAGGAGAACCAGGGTCCCCTAAAAAAAGACACCCAAATAAACCTCGAGGATCCTTAGGGTTCCTTTTCAAGAACCTTTCAGGGGGATGGCCATGAGGGCTGCGGTCCGACAATGAGCCAGGTGCCCGTAAAGGCACGATTCTTGTTAAATGTTAGCAGTTAGGTGGGGATTTCCCACTAAATGCTTTCCAACAATAACCGAGCATTTGCGTTTTCGCGCCCTGGACAAAATGAGAATGTATGTCCAACCATGATACCCTCCCAATCAACACAGAACCTGACACCGGGTTTGTCGAAAAGGAGAATGGCCCTGTCAGGTTCCATGTGCATTGGCGGGAGGGTAGATTCCCTTTCAAGCCAGGGGAGCAAAAAAGAAAAAATCTCAAGCAAGTGGAAGGTGCGACCAAAGGCTCCGAACAAGAAACTTGCGGCTTCCCAAAAAATATTTCGCCTCAAACATGTCTGAAGGCTCTCTCCGTAATCAAAAGAAGCCAACCTAGCCTAACTTAACCTGACCAAACCCAGCTTAAGCAAACCCAACTCAACCAACCCCAAACAACCACCAAAAAAAACTGACCTAACCCAACTAAACCAACCCCCCCAAAAAAAAAACAAAAAAGAAAACAACAAAACAACAACTGACCTAACACAACGAAACCTGGCCAAAAAAAAAGCAAAAAAACATGTCACACTGCCGAGCGAGTCCTTGCCCTTGGGCACCACCAGAGGCACGAATCCATGCCGCTCCTGAACGAGACGTGTGACTGTTAGGGAGTGGCTGCCTTCGCATTTCTGCCATTGTGATGTTCTTTCTCGGTTTACTTGTTGTTTTTTCTTTGGCCCCCTGGAAGGTGTTTTTTTTGTTTTGTTTTTTCCCCCGCCCCCTGGAACAAACAAAAATATTAGGTCCAGTAACATATAGCTTCCCTAAAAAATCCAACTGGGGAAGATACAAAGCATATTCTTCAGCAAATAGAAGATTTCGATGGGTATTTATGTCCACCGACCATTGCGGCAGGTTTTCCTAATTGAAAATCATAGCCATTGCGGCAGTGGCCATCAAGGTGGCCTGGGTTCAGGCCAAGGCGCCTGGCGTCTCCAGCAAAAAAACTGAACAAAATAGCAGTTCAGTGGTTGGATTTCAACCACTAAACCACCATAAGCTTAAAACGTAGAATGTTTCCCAACAAAAACCGAGTAGTGGGTTACTTGAAGAGGGCCCAACAACTTGTAGATGTTCAGACGCTGTACATCTCGGGGGGAGCGCCGCGGTTTTCTGGCTCGGCTGGTCCTCAAAGTCGGTCCACATGAAGTTCACCTCGGCATCGAACCCACCCAACTTCCATCGTGCGTGGCTCGTTTCGGTTGAGGCGCTTCATTCCCCCCGGTTTTAGGGTGGCAACTAACGGGATGCCAAAGGGACCTGCCGAGATCGAGTCCCTGGACGTTCGACACCAAGCCCACTGGTGTTCTCACCGGGAAAAGGCTCTCCCGTGGGTCGGCTGCCCTATCGAACTGAAGGACGAAGTCATGAAACCGGGTGGATGGGAGGAATGGAAAAAACGCCGCGTGGGTGAGCCAACTGCGATCTTCTTTGAGTCAGATTCAAGAGAAGCCAAGGGAAAAATGCCAATTTGCGGGCTCCCCCCCGTTGTCAAGACGCGGTCCGGTCAGGCACAGCTTTGAAGTTGGCATCACCTCGTCCAATCTGACTCGGACTGCAGAGTGGAATATCTCCGCGTAAACCGACCCCGTTTTCACACATACCCAAGTCTCTTCCAGCCCTTCATGCGGAAACAGATTTGTTTCTTTGTCTGGCGCAAAACACACCAGTAGTCCTAGCTGAGACTAGTGACCAAGCCGTAACCCTGCTGCTTCTTTTCAAGCTCAATTCGGCCAAAGGCCCAGCCCACACACACCTCACACACCTCACACCTCACACCCCAGCCTCGCCTCGCCACAAGCCACGTCCCCACCTCCCCGCCTCCCCACCATTCCCCACCGGACCCCCCCCACCTCTCCCCACACCCAGGCGCGAAGGGGCAGGTGCCCTGCTTCACCGCGGGCGGGGCCCGCCACAGCCGCTCCTCGAGGCTGCTTGGTCCAGGGGCCGGGACCGAGCCAACTCAAGCCCCTGGATTTGGCTGTGGGTCAGAAATGATTCGTACCCGAAATGGGTTGCCCTGGCAACATGGAGCCAGAGGCTAAAACATGCGGTTTTCCTGGTTTGGAGTACGGAAAGCGGAAAGCCAAGGGGTCACATCCCGCATACCCCAATACTTGGTTGACGTTAAAATAGGGGAGCAAAAAATCTGACAAACATAGCAGTTCAGTGATTGGAGTTCAACCACTAAACCACAACAAGCAAAAATGAAAAATGTGTCCCAACAATAACCCAGTATCACTTTGGGGGGTTCACTTGGCCACTCACAGAACGGAAAGTATCGCAGAAAGTACAACGTTGAAATCACATGACACTGCAAGTGGATTCTAAAAGTGGCAGGCGCACCAATCAAAACTTGGATTCCCTTGACTCCTTTGGCAGAAAGGCTTTTCACAAAGTGGCCGCAGCCCAAAAAACTAACCTGTGTTCCCTCTCCTTCACCAAGTGGTGCACCGCCAGAGCAGCGCCCACGTAGCTGAGGCCTCCAACGAAGCAGACGCATCGCTCGAGCGCTTTCTGATGCGCAGCGAGGGGTCCTTGTGATACTACTTTTCATACAGAACATGGCCCTCAAACCCTGTTTCCCACAACCATGGTCTGAACAGCTCAAGTGGGTGGCTGTTTGGGGGCGAGCGATAAACGTTGACCCGTTCTGCAAATATGAAGGAGGATAAAAGTCTTACTCTAACCCTAGTTGTTGTGCTTGAAACAAAAGACTGGAAGAACCCAGAACACGTCAGAGCCGTCGGAAAGCGAGTGAGCAGGTTATGTCCCAAAGGGAGCCATGGATTCGGTACACAACACGTTTGGGTGTGCTGTGTCTTGGAGCGCACTGTTGTGGTGGCTCTAAAGGGAAACCAACAGGAAAACGCCTTTGTCAGGGTCGCCCCTATTTTTACAAGCACCCATGTGAATGTGCAAAAACTCCAATTGTTCCTAAAGGCCCCAACAGTGTTGTCTGTTCAAGAGGACATGGGAGAGTGGGGCCCGTTCTCCTGGTTTTGTGGGTGACTCTGGGTTGTCATCCCTTCTCACCCTCCCCAAACCAACAGTAGACTACCACTAATACTGTCAAAGGTGCATATATTCATCATATTGAAGGCATGCGGTAATTATGACACACGTTTAAATCAACTGATTTAGCCCAAATTCTCAGTACTGATGAACATTTTAAAATATCTGTCAGTTGACAGCAGCCGCTTTGTTGAATCAAGTGGGCACAATTGCGTGGTCCGACAGACACCGCAAGTCTAGGACAATTGTCCCGCAATTCATCTTCCACTCAAGGCAATAGGGGGTCGCATCAAACAGGACCAGTGTCAAGTTCAGCAGATAGTTGCATCTGCAACCTTCGCCAGGATGCAAAGTCAAGCAAGTGAGAAGAGTAACAGGGATCCTTACATTATACACCTGAGCATTGCCTTGTACATGGTGGTTTCCCTTTATTTTGGTGGAAAAAGCCATGTTTGAAATGGGCAAAATGTATCTTTTAAGGAGCCCTGAGTAAGATTCATAATTTAGCACAGCGGCTCGGACTCCAACAAAAGCCCTGATGTGGCGTATCCTGCAGACTCAACGCAGCAGTGCCCGTTGCACGCAATGCCCGCCTTGGGCAGGTACGTCCAAGCGTCCTTGCAGAATTCATATGCCGGTTCCATTAATCTTAGCTTCAAATTAACCCAAGGAACCTTACTCATTGGAGAAGGTTCCCTTTGAGGAAGCGAATGATCAAAGAAAGACAACCGGGGGGTCCTCTGACTAGCAGGCTCCTCTTATCAAATCGAAGTGAACAGCAATGTATCGGTCGGGGATTCGCAATCTGCCGGCCAGAAATCGCACAAAACCAGGGAAGTGGAAGGCAAACCAAAAACAGCTTTTCTGGGATTCGACTCCCTTGGCTTACCTACAAAACCAGGGAAGTGGAATGCAAACCCAAAAAAGCTTTTCTGGGATTCGACTCCCTTGGCTTACCTACAAAACCAGGGAAGTGGAAGGCAAACCAAAAAAAGCTTTTCTGGGATTCAACTCCCTTGGCTTACCTTCAAAACCAGGGAAGTGAAAGGCAAATCAAAAACACTGTCTGGGATTCGACTCCCTTGGCTTACCTACAAAACCAGGGAAGTGGAAGGCAAACCAAAAAAAGCTTTTCTGGGATTCGACTCCCTTGGCTTACCTTCAAAACCAGGGAAGTGGAAGGCAAACCAACAAAAAGCTTGTCTGGGATTCGACTCCCTTGGCTTACCTACAAAACCAGGGAAGTGAAAGGCAAACCAAAAAACACTTTTCTGGGATTCGACTCCCTTGGCTTACCTTCAAAACCAGGGAAGTGGAAGGCAAACCAAAAAAAGCTTTTCTGGTATTCGACTCCCTTGGCTTACCTTCAAAACCAGGGAAGTGGAAGGCAAACCAAAAAAAGCTTTTCTGGGATTCGACTCCCTTGGCTTACCTACAAAACCAGGGAAGTGGAATGCAAACCCAAAAAAGCTTTTCTGGGATTCGACTCCCTTGGCTTACCTACAAAACCAGGGAAGTGGAAGGCAAACCAAAAAAAGCTTTTCTGGGATTCGACTCCCTTGGCTTACCTTCAAAACCAGGGAAGTGGAAGGCAAACCCAAAAACAGCTTTGCTGCGATTCCAAGGGGCGGTAGTCTGTGAAGAGACCCACCATGTCGCTCTCCATGGGCTCGTCTCGCTGCGGCACGATCTGAGCGTCTGACCCAAGGACCCCACCAGGCGGCGTATTTTTGGTTGTTACTGCGCCCGTTTCCCTTTCACCTACCACTGCCTGAAGGTGACTTTGATGTTGCCAGGAAGCCTAGCTGGTGGTTGGAAGGGGGCATCCAACATTGATAAAGAGGGAGCTAGGGAGCTACCAAGAGTTCTGGTCAGGGACAGGGCACATTCTTGATGACAGTCTAGGTCCCCAAGCTAGGACCCCATTCTAGTAGATTAGGCCCTGCTCTTGGCCCATATTTGGGCTCCCCCCCCAAAAAACAATATGTTCTCAGAGTCAGCTCTGCTCAAAGGGGTCCGAATGCTGCGTGTTCGTTGAGGGCCACTTTTCAGCTTGCGAACCGAATGGAAAACCGAAGCCAAAAATTGGGTGTGCAAATCCATATGTTGACAAATACCCACTACTCCAAATCCCCACCTTGCTGAAGAGTATGATGCCAGCCCTGACCAAAAAAAAACGGCAGTATAGGGCGGGCTCCCAACACACAGCGGGTATGCTGAGTAGCGGGTCTGAGGTTCGTGTTTTGTCATCCACACTAGTCTGTTCACAGTAGTATGAGGGGATAAATGATGAAACCAAGTACTCGGGTCTTCGGCCAAGTTGATAAGCTTAGAACCCGCGTATAAGTTTTCGTGGATGTGGGCTTAACCTTGTTGCTAGGGGGAAGGAACCGCACCCACCACATACCTGTCCTAACAGGAAAATAAACAAAAACAGGGACGCCACCTGCATTGAAACTCCTCTCTTCCCTGTCGTATTTGCTTCACCCGTTGTCCTACGATGCATCCGAAAAGCATCCACCACAAGCAGATCCCGTTCCGTTTGTGATTCAAGGATTGCCCTGAATCGATCCAGGGCAACAAACACAGGCCCTGCAAGCGCATGGGAGAACTGCGGCTATGAAATTCCTGGCACATGCGCAAGGGAAGGGGGTAAAACATCAGATGTGGTTCTGCTTCATACTTAGTCAGCTCGAAAGAAAAAATGTTCCTGGCAGCACTTGCCTTATGGCTTCCAAGCGGCGACCTGGATGGTCTGAGACGCCTGGCGAGCGAGAGCAAAGGGATGGAAACGTGCGCGCGCAAGCCTTTACACATCGCCCAAAAGGAGACTCACTCTTTATCACTCTTTATGGAACCCTGGATGAAACCCTTCCCAACTGGTTCCTGATTTTGTGGTGTTCAAGGGAAGCCAGAAGGAAAACCACTTGTTTTGGGGTCCATAACTCCATGTGTATAGTTATTATATATGTTTCTGTTCTACAGGGAACCTCGTTTCAACCGACCTCGAAAATGGCCCTGAGTCCTTTCGAGCCCTGCCTGGCCATGTAGCTTTGCCATGGAGACAGCCACCGCTGTAAGCCTCAATGCAAATGGTGGCACAGTTTCTCTAAACTTGGGGTGGGTGTTCTGATGGTTTATACTTTGTTTGCTTACTTCTTTTTACTGGCTGGGGGGGGGAGGGATGTTGATGTCTTTTCTACTGATGGGAGGGATTTTGATGCTTTTGCACAAACCGACAGTTTCTTTGTAACAAAACTGGTTGCGAAAGCCGCATCCTTCTCGAGCAGCCATGTATCCTGAAAGCGCGAACCTGAACTCCGAGCCTCGCGGAGAAAAGAACGGCTCGTCTCAGTTCGCCTGCAGTAGGTCTTCCTTCGAATTGTCGATTCGGGGTTCTTCCACCTGCATCAATAGAGGGTGTTCCCCCCGAAAAGCTAGGGACTCCGTCTTAAAAGGGACACCCGTGGTTTGTTGCTCCTGGGTGTTGCGAGATCCCTAGATCGCCCGCCAAGAAACTTGGGTATGTGCCAAAATCGAATCTCCCAAACAACTCCGGGGTACACCAAACCTGCAAAAAATCGGATTCTGCTTCGTAGTTCACCTTTTGGCTTCCCTTGCAACCAACCGTAAAAAGGGAACCTCACAAGAACCACACCCGCCGATGCCGGCTACCCAAGCAGCATGAGGATGTCATCCGCCACAGCCAGCTTCCGGGCAGTGTGCTTCAGAAACCCGACCTGCGAATTCCCGGGCCCAAACCCACCCGACATCTGTGGGTGTGGTGCCCCTTTTTTGGTGGTTTGAAAGGGACACCCAAAGGACAACCACATACTTTTGTTCTTTTTTCGGGGGGGGGGGGGGGAGGGGGTTGGTGGTTTGCAAGGGAAACCAAAAGGAAAGCCACAAATTTGGGGGGGGGGGGGGGTTTAAGGTCCCCTTAAAAACAGACCCACCCCTGTTCGAACTCTGTTTCATACCCGTCCACGCTGCCTTGGCTCCCATCTAAAGGAAAATGGTTCAAAACCGGCCCCCAGTCAGGTTCCCTGTTAGTGGATGGGATTGTAGTCAACCTGAAAATATAAACAACTTTCTGAGACCCAAGGTTCGAATCGCACAGCCAACGACCGGTATGCTCTGGGAAGTGAGCAAAGGGGAAATCAATCGGGGCTCGGAGCATTGCTTTAAATCCACAGCTGAAATAGATGAAACTCTTCCCAACTGGTGCCTCTCTTTTTTCACCAACCCCATTGCCAGACCAATCCCAACTGGCGCCTCATGTTGTAACTCCGCGTCCCTCATAAAGGGTAGCTTGGAGCCCATTGGTTTGGAGGTGTTCCCGGGGGTAGCTTCCCATGCCGTAACCATCTGCCTCGTGCCAATCCCAACCCAACGCTTGCAACATCAAACCACTGGAGTTCCTTGGCCCATCTCGGAAAACACAAACAGAAGCCCGAGTTTCAGATCCTGGTCCATACTCGCAAACACTGTTTCCTGGTTGGTGAAAAAGAAAATGGAGGAGAGCCCGTGTGTACTTTTGACAGTGTTGAGCCAAAACCTGAAATCTGTAGTTTCTCTCTCCCCCCCCACCACTTGAAATTTGTACACTCTTTCCTCTTCACCCCCCCCGTGCACCTCGGACATGTACAACCAAAAGTCGCGTACATTTACGTACCCCCACCCCTCTGTACATTGAGGAAGGGGGAGGTAATCCCGAGCAATGGGAATCCCGAATTAATATACCGCTGTTTGATTTTGATCGGGGGGTGTCCCACTTTTCTGGGGGTTCATCAACTTTGGAGAACTGCTTGTCATAGGATGGGTTATACTTGGATCTGGGTCAACACTTGAAAGGGTGATTGAGTGCAACAGTGGATGAGCAAACAACCCAAGAAGGCCTAGTTGCCATGCTTAAGGTGTCCCCAGTCATCTCAACAAATCCCTTCGTGGTTTGGATTGGTGGTGGGATTTATATTGCATCCCGGAACTCCCAGGATTTACGCGACAAAAGTTGATCAATTCACTGGCGCCTTCGTAAAATCGCTCACTTTTGGAGGCTCCAAAAAGGGCAACGGCTCGGAACCACCCCCCCCCCCCCTCCCAACCGAACCGAACCGTTCGGCCCTGCCAAAGCCGAGCCCTCGAAAAACCGAAACGAACCAAGAACCAAACCGCTTCCGCCTGGGGAGGGGTCATGGCCAGCATCTCCGCCCGCACATTGGCGGTGTAGGAGGACTTGTCCAGGTGGGCAGGAGTCCTCAGAGAGAGGGCTCGCCAGACGGTCAGAGCCGGGAAAGAGTTCGGGTCGAAAAATCCAAATTCCGATGGCGAGCATTTTCCTCGAAGGGTTTTTAGGAGAACCAAAGGTCTACCTCCCACGCTCTCGGGCTGATCATCGAACGGGTCAGTAGATATTATTTTTGTTGTAGTCTATTTTGGTAGGGGAACCTTCCCAACCAAAAAAGAAACGGTAAAAGGGCACCTAGCTGCAAAACCTAGATGACAGGGATCTTAGTTTCCTGCTGGCAATTTGCCGCTGGTATCCCATGGGCTTCAGCCACTTTGGGAGGTGCCAAAGACGAATATGGAGGACACCCAAAGCATGAAACTGGCGGTTTAGTTTTCAATCGGGTCCCGTCCCCTTTTAGGGTTTTTTAACCTGATGATAATTCTGCTAACGTCGGATTCATCCGGAGGACAGAATCCGAAAAAAGGGGTGGTTCCTGTGTTGGTAGGGAAGTGACCCCTATGCCTGTTTGCAACCGCTGATCATGGCGCACCAGCAAGGTACGAGTACCGCTAAAATGAAGTGGCCAAGGAAGCCGTGTCATGGGTCCAAGAAGTCATTATGAGTTCGTTTCTTTCTGGAAATGTCCTGCACCAAATCGACCACAAGGTGAATTTCCAGATAAACTGACAAAGTTGCCAAACAGACACGTCCCGCCATGTTGAAAATGTCCCTCCAATCCCAAATTGGTACCTGATTCTTTCATCTGGAAACGTCCACCAACCTGTTAATGTCGTTTTCGCGCCACGCCAACTGTTGTCGGGCACCACGACACTTGCGGACCTGCGTCGAGTTGAAAACCTTTCGTACCGGAAAACCGGCCTTCCAAGGTACGGCCAATCATCGATATTCCCTTCGGCCCCCAGTTTTGACCAAGGCCAACTTTTCCCGTTCGGTGCTTGGAATATCGAATATCTGCTTCACGTGTCTTTCTTTTCAATGGTCATTTCATGTATCACTGACCTGTTGATCGACCCCTCATGCAAAACCCCCCCCCCCCCCCCCGCATCCGCATGGAGACGTGTTTTGCGCGGCTCGGGTGTCCAAATCGCTGCCTTGAAGGCTGACCCGAGAAAAAAGAGAAGCACCCCGGTTCGGGGTGCCCCATTCTGCGTTTGTTTGGCTTGTGGGTCAGAAGGTAGGTACCCAAAAGGGCTTGCCCTGGCAAATGGAAACAAGCACAAAAAGATGTGTAACCCTTGAAAACCCGAGCTCTTTCATGTTGCGCCTCCATATTTCATCCACCCCAAAGAAAAAACAAGCTTTGACCGGCGATCACAGAAAAAGATGCCAGTGCACTTATATGTTTCCGACCGCTAGTGCACCAAGTTTCTGCTGAGCAGAACCGACCCCCCACACCCTCAGCAGGCCCCCTCCCCCCCCCCCCCGCGAAAAACGCGAGCCACCCCCCCCCCCCCAACCCCACCAACAACCCCCCCAACAACCCCCCATGCCCCCACAGCCCCACCGCCGCCCCGTCGCATGGATGGAACCGGGCGGCACGGCGTCGGCCAAGCGGTGGTCCCCCTCCACGGTGCGGTGGATCCGCGGCAGCAGCGCTGCGAAGGCGCTGGGCAAGGGAGGCAGCGCCTCGAGGGTCCGAGCATCCCATCCGCAAATAGATCCAGCGAAAATGGTCGCTCGCTTTTCTCGTGCTTTTTTATGTTTGTTTTTCTCTCAAAAAAAAAGAACGGGTAGCCTCCCTCCCACTTTTGTCCTGGTGGTGTCCTTTTGAAACCAAACAAGGGGACCCTCCAAAAAACACCTACCGTTCCTCCCACTAACATGGAGGATTTGTTCTTGTTGGTCGATCTTTTCATCGAAAAATAGTTTTCAGGGTACCGGCCGGAAGTGCAGCCATGCATTTTGGCCGGACGGTTATTGCGAAAATTTGTGGTTTTTTTTTTGGGGGGGGGCTACCCTCTCACCAAAGGGATTTGTTGTTTTAGATTTTTTAAATGGACCGTAGTTTCCCACTAGGATTCCAAAAGGGGATGGGTATCCTCCCACCAATTAACGTGGAACTTGACAGGGACCCGCCCCCATTAAAAGGAAATGGTCTTCCAGGACGCCCCTGTCAGGTTCCATGTTAGTTGGTGGGAGGGTACCCTGTTTCTCGGTTAGGAAAACCAACAGGTTTCGACCACCCAAAATAGGCAAAACTTGAAGGCACATGGTCGCATTTGTTTTTGCAAGTAAGTCAACTTTACTCGAAAAAAAAAGGCTATGGCAAACGGTAAATTACAAAATTCCCTTACTGCAATATGGCTTTGTTTGTGTTCTTGAGCGTGCACGTTTTACCTTAAGGGAAGCCAAAAGGAATGACGTGAAGCCATGTTTGGGGGTCCCCCTTTGACACATCCCCATATGGGTGTTTTATTTTCAGGGCGCCCTGTTCAGGGTGAGTTAGGGAAACAAAAAGGAGACCGCCCCAAACGGGTGGGCCCCTCATCTTGAGAAAGATCCATAGGGAACTTGGGTGCTAAGTTCCCCTAAAGGGAGGTGGAAACCATAACATTTTTCAATTTGGCAATGCAATATTCACACTTGGCTATAAAATTTAATTGGGAGCCATGCCACAAGCGGTTGGTGGACATGAATCCCCAAATATTGTCCACCAAATTCAACACCTCTAAAACGTCTGTCTGTTTCCAAAACCCGACCTGTTTGTTTCGGACGAGGGACAAATGAAGGCCAAAATATGCGCAGGGGTCGTAGCCCGAGTCTTTCTTCGGGTGGTTTGGGTTTGAGCGTCAGGTGCTTGAAATCATCCCAAAGGGGGTTCCGCCTTTTTGAGTCACCGTAGAAACAAGGGGGGGACGGGCGCAACACAAGCATTCAAGCATCAACTCAGTGCCCATTCAAGCCATGAACATGGGCTTTTATCAGAATCACATTGGACATGGTTATCACCGACTTCTAACATGGAACCTGATCGAGGGGTCCTGGAACACTATTGACGCACCCTCTGGTGAGGTCCTTGTTTGTGCACAGGAGGGTACCATGATTTTAAGTCCCCAAGGTCCGTGATTTGCCCTTCCCGACATTTGGAGCCTATTTCGACAAACACCCTTTGGACATTCAGCTCAATGCACGCGGAAAGCCGCGATTGACCAAACAGTTTGCCACTGAAATGGCCCAACCTTTCCAAGTAAAGTGAGGGCCGAAGCCATGGACTTGATCAAAAGCTCCGAACATAGGATGACCCTTGCAAAACCTCTAGAAACATATGACATTTCACCAACTGGGAAAGTTATGGTCATTTGAGGGTCCACTAGAAAGATATTTGATATTCCAACCAACTGGGAAATGTCACCCAAGGTCAAAAGTTGGGGCCGAAGGGAGCATTGATCAACCTCCATGCCCCCGAACGAAGCCACGCCTCCTGGGCGATGATGGAGCCCAGGTCCGACAGAAGCGGGACGATGCAGAAGCCATCGCTGAACCTCTCACAAGGAGAACCCGCACCCCCCACCCTACAGCCCCTGCATGGGTCTGTGTGTCAAAAGTTGGGGAACCCCTCAAGATGAGTGGCTTTCCTTTGGTTTCCCTTTTTTTCCAAGCTGAAGGGTACCCTCAAAAAATACGCACACACAAATAAAATGCTGGCCCCCCTTTATTGTTGGGTAGTAGGTAAGGGGAAAGAAAAAGGAAACCAACCGGTTTAGGGATCGCTGAACCGGCCGAAGGCCTATATAAACAAATGAAGGTCGAAATAGCGCTGGTTCCCTTGCTTCTTGCTATCGGGATCATACATGAATGCGGATCATAACATGAATACCGAAGGCATGTTTCTTGTTAAAAGGGGCCTGACGGTCCTCCCAATATTGGTTGGTGAAAACCGGCAGCAAGTGGACAACTCTTTGGTCAGCTTTGTTCAACTTAAGGATGCTTGGATAGTGCCCGTGGGCGTGTGGGGTATTCGTTAATTCAAATTGCGTTATGATCTTCACGCTGTGTCTCTGACCACCCCAACCAGCAAGGGTGGTTTTGCTTCCCATCTCCAACCCGTTGAGGGATGTTTGGACAGCAAACCAAGTACCAAACATGAGACAAGCCTGCCGACGTGGTGTGCAAGAAATCAACACCAGTTGTCGTCTCTATTTCATGAGGATGCCATGCTTTGGGGGTCATGCCTGCCTGGCACGACAGGTTGGTTTGGCTGCAGTTCATGTGGGTGCACCTTGCCGCCAATCTCCCAACTCTCTCGGGGCAGGGGTTCTAAATTCTTTCGGACTGCTTAGGCCCCGTTGGGTCAAAAAAGATCCAACCCTGCCAAAAAAACAAGAGCATGTCTCCAAACTGGTTGCAACAAGGCTGCGGGTCAAACATAGGTTCCCGAAACGGCTTGCCCTAAATGGACACATGGACTAAAACAACCTGTGGTGCCCTGCTTGAATGTTGACCCATACCAAGCTCTCCTATCATGGGCCCCAGCGGCATGTGCGTCACCCGCATCTGCAGCACCAGGCCGGCCGCTTCCTCCGACTGGAACCTCGCCACCAGCAGCTGGAAGGGAGGCTCGAAGGGCTCCTTGACGTGTGCTGCGTGTGCAACCCGTGCGAGTGGACGGCCCAGGCCCGAGAATATGGGCCGCTGCGCTCTCTCATGTGCACGAAATCCGCAAAACGCCACCGATTGGAGAGGATGACACATGAATGAGGCAAAGCACATCACTTGTGCGAAGCGGATGTTGCGAACTTCCTTGGCCGTGCTCCAAGAAACCCTTCATACAGTCTCTGGGTCCATGATCCCTACCAGTTTCACAACCAACCCCCGGGAAAAAAAACTCACCTCCGATCGAGTGGGCTGGCCAAAGAAAGTACCCAAACGTCCGGTTTGTGCCACTGACATGGTCTTCCCAAAAAGTGACGACAAGTCCATGAACTCAGGAAGTGAGAACCCATGGCGAACAAGTTTTCTGTTTTGTTGGGCCGGAAGTGAGACCCCATGGAGAACATGTTTGTTCCAAAAGTCCAGTGTGTGTTGTGCTGAGCCCGCTTGCGGCAAAGTAGCTCAAGCCATGGCTGTTCTCTTCCGACTTTCTGAATCAGGACATTGCCCAAAGCCCACAGAATCGGGTGTTGGCTTCAAGAAACCAAAGATGCGAGGACAATTGAGGGAGCAGCCTTTGGAAATGTGACTCTTGTGTGTGTGGACCTTCTTGGCATGCAAGGTACAGGAGCGTGTACTGATCAATGGAAATTGTTCTGGAATTTCTGAAACAAGTTCAGGCCCAAGTTCCAGCCAAACTGCCGTCCTGTGGGTGTTTCATCACTCAACTGGCAAGCTTGGAGCATCATTGAAGCAAGTAGCAGCTTTTTCAGCCTGCAAATCCAAATTGCTTGTTTTGAGAAACTTTCATCTGAAGCTTTTGGTCTGCTCTCAGGCATGAAACTCCAGAGAGTAATTGGGAGCCCAACTGGACTCGCTTTTTCTGTGCTGGGTGAAACAAATGGGAGAATCATCAATCCGCCGCTTTTCCCATGCCTTGCAATGCTTGATGTTGTTCTCCGCCGCCTCCTTGCTGTCGGCAGTCCCCAGCTGGATGATGACCTTGCCCACCTCCGACTAAATGTTCAGATGATGTCGAGACATGTCGAGACATGTCGAGACCCCCAAAAAAGATAACTACCCAAAACCAATCAAACAAAAAACCACCATCGCCTTTTCTTAAACCCAAAAGGCAACCAAAGCGACCCCGAGCTTCGGCGTTCCAGCGACCGAACCCTCGTTGGCGCCTGCGGGGCCTCGGTCTTGACGCGGGGCCAGGCCGCCTTCATGGCCCAGGTGGCCAGGTCCAGCACTGGCCGCAGCGCCGCCGCCGCCTCAGCTCGGAGTTTTTGGTGGCCTGAGACATTCAAAGCTCTTCCAACCTGGATCGCCAGCTGCTTTGCTCCATCTACTTTACCCCAAAAACCACCAACAGTGACTGAAGAAAGCAGCAACTTGGCTATCTTGGTATGTTTTTTTAAAGGGAGGAAGGGGGGGGAAGAGCCCGCCCGATTCTTTGAATTGATTAAAATGAGTGTTGTTGTTGTTGTTGTTGTTGTTGTTGTTGTTGTTGTTGTTGTTGTTGTTGTTGTTGTTGTTGTTGTTGTTGTTGTTGTCGTT